GGATACCATGGGGTGGGGGGGGGAGGGGGGGTGTGGCAGCCCTGCATCATATATGTCTGTCACTCTGTCACTCTGTCAGTCAGTCAGTCAGTCAGTCAGTCAGTCAGTATGTATGTATGTATGTATGTATGTATGTATGTATGTCGGTAGGTATGTATGTAGGTATGTATGTATACATACACACGCAGGCGCACGCACGCACACACACACACATACACTTACTTGGAGTGACCCTCAGTACAACAGAAGTTATAGCATAGGTTAGCAGGTTATTCTCCCAATTCTTCAGCTACATCTCAAGTTGGGGTTCTTGGCTTGGCCCCTTGCCACATAGCACACAAGCGACAGCTGCTGTAAACTGTCTTGCAAACTTCAGCAAGGACTATCAACGCACAGCGAAGATTTTAGATGCTTTGTTTACGTTTTTCATCACTGGCGGGTACACCAGGATGCGTCCTTGCTTCACAAGCACTAACTGGGCGTCTTCATTGGTTCTGGTCCCAGACAAGGCGCCCTGAGCCCCTTGTTGCTCCAAACCATTTTTCATGCTCTCTGGGTCCCTTGGTCTCAGGGTAGTACACACACACACACACCTGCCCTTGTGAATGCCGCCGGATCTGCGTCCTCACCTGGCATTTAGGGCATAGGCATTAGGGAGAGAGAGAATTAAATGAGAGAACTTAAAGTCTTTTGATGATGAGATGGTCAGCGTGGGAGTTCGCAGGCAAAGCCGCAGCTCTCCCGACACTGCCATGTCATCTTTTGGTCAGTGTGGGAGTTCGCAGGTCAAAGCCCCAGCCCTCCCTACACTGCCCGCTTGTGAAGGTCAGCATGGAGGATCGCAAGCAAAGCCACAACCCTCTTATGCTGCCTTGGCATGGCTGAGGTTTCGAGGCCTTTACATTGCTCTGGCACCAGTTGTAGAGTAGGCGAACGAGCACACTACACGTGTGCTATGTCAGTCTTTCACACAAGTTGTAGAAGGAAAGCGTACTGCACGTATGTTGAAGACATTCTGGCACGCAAGTTGTAGAGTAGGTGGTGTTGCATGTAGGAGCACGAGTAGACACTGTCCCGTCATCTTGCTGCATTTACGCAGGAGCATATTCTGAAGGTTCTGTTGCGCTCATCCTTCTGGCCACGCGCTTTCGCTGGAGCATGACGACTGGCATTTTGACAGAACACACCCACTTGGAGCGACCCTCAGTATACCCGAAGTTATACTATGACTATACGTTAGCAGATTGTTCTCTCACTTCTTTCAAAGCTGCGGTTCTTGGCTTAGCCCCTTGCCACATAGCACACAAGCGACAGCTGCTGTAAACTGTCTTGCTAACTTCAGCGAGGACTATCAACGCACAGCGAAGATTTTAGATGCTTCGTTTACGTTTTTCATGACTGGCGGGTACACAAGGATGCGTCCTTGCTTCACGTCTTCATTGGTTCTGGTCTCAGACAAGGCGCCCTGAGCCCCCTGTTGCTCCAAACCATTTTTCATGCTCTCTGGGTCCCTTGGTCTCAGGGTAGTACACGTCACACACCCACACACACACACCTGCCCTTGTGAATGCCGCCGGATCTGCGTCCTCACCGGGCACTGAAACAGAAAAGAAGGGTGGGTCTGGGTGGTCTGCAATGGCTGTTGTGTAAAACCGAATGTCTAATCTTGGCGCCCTGGCCTTCTAATCTTGCTGGCTCAGAAGCCCCAGCTTTTTTGCTTGCTACAGCAGGTACGTCAAGAAAACGTCTTTTCTTGACATCACATTCCAATGGTGCGGTCTTCGTTGGGCAATGCACACCAAAGGATTCATTGCCCCCCTGCTCGTAGTTTGTTCCAAAAATCATGTGTGTGCAATGGTTAATGCAGCAGTAATGGAGTGACCTTCTGTTCCCGTGTCTAAGGAAGTTCACACCCACCCACACACGGATTTGAAAGGTCAACATATAATTGACAAATTCCATTGTATTCTGGGGAAGATCTTGAGGGAAAGGAAGATGATCTTGTAGGGGTTGAGGTCGAAAGTACCTTGGTATCCTGAAACCTGACAGTGACAATTGCAATGACGACTCAACCCTCGGCTTGCCAGGTTTTCAAGTTTGCCTGGTGGCCATTCCAGAGAAGCAACCACTGGCAGGTACGTCGACTTGGCGTCCCAAGTCGATATCACAGGAAAGCAGAAAGGTCTTCGGTGGGGCCAGCCTTTTGCAATCCCCTGGCACCCCCTGCTTTTGAAACTATGAGCAGTCAACAGGTCCTCACCAAATCCCTTAGCTTAGAATCAGGGTGTACACACACACACACACACACGCACGCCAGTGCACGTACGTGCATGCGTACACATTCATGATCATTCATGTCTGTCATGTCACAGGTGCACAGGCTCCGCTTGCGCATGGAAGAACTGGAGGCCACACGGGCTCGGTGGCTGCGATGTTCTGTGGCAGTGGCCGGATTCGTGCAGCTGCCGCCCAGGCATCAATCACTGAGCAGCAGGACAGATGCATACTACTGGCTAAAGAGCTGCAGATCAAGTCCGAGCGTGTGGAGGCACATCATTGCAGTTAGAGAAGAGATGTGACAGGGAATGGTCGGCCTTCCCTTCGATTCACTTACATGACTGCAAGCATTCCAAACTGCCCTTGCGGACTGTTTTGCTGTTTTGGTTCGTGCAAGTTCGCCGCGACATCTTGTGCTGATTTTTCACCAAAAGAGTCTCTCAACCCGTGTGTTCCTTTTTTTCTTCAACCTGCTGTCCATTCATCAGCACGCGCGACTTCTATTGCAATCTTGGCTTTCTTCTCGCCGTGATTGGCCACCTCCCGTACGGTGTCCGCACACGGAGCTTGTTACCGCCTCACAGAGCGCCCCGATTCGGAGCGTCTCTTGACAGGTGAAGATCCGGAGCCGCGCCCTGACGGTTCTGCAAAGTTTGCGTGTCAGTCAGCCCCGCGTTTCTCCTTTTTCACCCATTGCCACCGCCACCGTTCCTGGGACGGCCTTCCTTCACGCGACAAACGCTTGCACGTAGATTTAGAACTTGCATTGCAAGCAGCCTGGGCACTGGGCGGGTTGCAGCCTGGGGCGAAGACATGTTCATTGTACCAATTCTGGAAGTTACAACAGATCGCCATTTGCTTCAACGCATCAAAGCAGTCTGTCCACTGAAATGTTGTCTTGCAGGTTCTGGAGAACGAGATACAGTCGCTCAAGACTCTCCGCTGTCAGGACGTTTCTGCGCACCTTTCTTGGTGTTGCCTTCAGGTGAGACAAACAAATCACATGTCAGTGGATGTGGACGCAGGATGGAAGTGCTTTCCATCGAGAGCCGAGCGACGAAGGCAGAACACCGCAGATAAGCGTTGGCACCAACGTGAATGGTTTGGCCCATTGCTTGCCATCACCGGGCAGGAGCTACACAGGCCCCGGCTTGTGCGCTTCACTTGAGCCTTGTCATGCCTTGTCATTCAATCGCCGCCTTCGTGCATGTGCTTTCAGAGGCAGGGCCCTCTTTTACGGTAGCCTATAAATGTTGTAGCCCAAAGATGCGGCAATGTCTGGTGCGCCATGCCCTGTGCAGCCAATCATGGCATGTTCCAAGCTCAGAGGTAGGAGAGGCTGTATGGGCTGCCAGCATCTCGTCTCAGACAGGCAAGGGGCAGCACCATTCTGGCCCTCCGGTTCAGGCCCCCCTCCGCCTTTTCGCTAGTCGCCACCTGCGCCCGGGCTGTGGGGAGGCGGCCGATCTGGGGAAGGGTGCGTGCCGATCTTGGCTTGTTTGCTGTGGCCTCTTTGGTTGTCCGGAGCATCACCACTGACCAGCAGTGCAGGCTGAGTTTGGAAGGATTGCAGACAGCCGCTCTCCCACGATCTGACTGAACACGCGTTGATCATAAACTCGGATACAACTCGTGCATGGCCATGTCATGATAAGGAGCTCGAGAGGGCCTATGAAAGGATCAGACGGCAGGAGACACAGCTTGAAGCCCTGCGTCCTGACCCCAGTCACCTGGGCGGACACGGATGCCACCTCGTCAGACCAGTTGCAGGTGGTGCTTACGAACAAGGTCGAGAATTAAATGCATATTTGATGGTCGCAGCCCCAGCTTGCCGCCGACCATGCGCCACACAGACATCTTTGACACTCCCCGAGGCTGAGCTTCAGCGTACAAACCTCTTGCTGCAGCAGCAAGCCAACGAGGACAGAGATCGCACGGGGTGCATCCCCCGCATACCTGCACGAGTCGGCTGGGCAGGTGCCGCAACAGCGCCCGGGCGTCGTGGGCGTGGTTCAGGTTGCGGCGTGCTGGCCCAATGCTTACGCTGATGTGGGAATGTTCGAGCAGGTGCCGACCTACACCCAAGATTATAATCAGCCTTATCTGCCGGTGATGGCCAGGTTCCTTGTCCGTCAGGGATTTTGGTTGCCTAGAGGTAGGAAAAAACTATTGTTTTTGATATGTTGCCTGTCTGTCAAGGAGTGTGCCCTCATCGTACCCAGAGCTGCCTATAGCCGCTGCACCTTCTTCGTTCCCACCGCCGGGCCCTAAATGACATCCATCTTCAATGCAGGAGCTGGAGGTAGGTTTTGCTGTTGCGTGCATGTGCGAGGTGGTATGTAATATGTGGGTGATCCCTAGCTTATGACCCACATCTTGTTGATCCCGACACTGTGCGATTCGGCTTTTTGGAGAGGCGTACCCCGAAAGGTCCCGACAACAGTTCGAACAGAGCAGAGGTCACGGAGTATCGTCCCAAACGCGTGGGGCTATTGTTAGACTGAGCGTGAAGACGGGCAATCATGCCCAATTGCAGCAATAAGCAGGGTCTCTGTTCAAAGCTCAGAAGGTAGAGGCAAAATGTTTCTCACGTGAGGGGGGAAAAATCTTGATGCACTGCGGCACTTTGGTTCATGATGCGCGAAACCGTTGCGCTGCTTGTGCGTTCCAGGCTTTTCCGGACGGCCTTCACCGAATCTCGGAGCATGTTCAAGAGCTGGCCAGTGACCGCAACCTGGGTAACCTAGTCTCTGCACGAACACCAGAGCAACGTGTACGTTCTGGACTTGGCTGGAACAATGGCAACTTTAGACTCAGCGGCGTCGCGAACTTGCAAGGCTTCGTTGGTTGGTTGCGTCGCTGTGTTAGCCTGAAAGTCGAATTAGACAACATGCAAGCTCCAGACCTTTGTCAAAGCGCCGCCTGTTCATCCCGGTTCTGATTAGCTGCACTCTGGATGCATCTGCGGTGCTGGTGAAGAAGCATGGGATTCGTAGTCGTTTTAGCCGCCCTTGGTGTTCTGGTGTTATGATTTCAGTTTCGTCTTTCTCTGTTTCGCTCCGTTTCTGGATGACAGGTCTCCGCGTTTGCTGCCGACACCGAAATGCTCAGGAGCAGGACGGGCAAACACTAGCGCATGCTGTTGCTGTGAAGCACATGGTGTTCGTGTATAGGGGACGGAGGCCTCACTTTGCTGTTGCTGCTGCTGTTTATCTCATGCATTTATATCTGTGTTGCAGGTCAATCTTCGGGTATGTCGAGCACATGGCGCGAGCCGTCGGGGCAGGCGCGGTATCGAAAAACCTGTCTTTGCGAGCACTGCATCTGAGCCGTGGTGGTCATGGAGGACCCGCCGGATCTGCCAGAAGACATCCCCACAGTGGGATCCCTGTGGCATGCCGAGGGTGCATGTCTGCACCCTAGATGCTGTGTCTTCACGATGGGGTTGCGAACTGCTCCACTTCCCTTCCCTCCGTCTCCCTTCCGGGGCAATCATCATCAGCAGCAGGTGGATGTCCTTTCAAGCTCTGTCTTCGATCGCATGGCGAGCGTCATCAGCATCCAGCTGAATTGCTGTTCAAGTTCCCTCTCCGATCTCACGGCCTTCGAGCCAACAGCAGGCGTAGCTGTTTGACGGTCAAACTTTGACCCAGTGTTTCGATGTGGACTAGTGACAGCAGGCGTAGCAGTTCGACCCTGTGTTTGGATGGAACTAGTCAGCCACAGTGCGATTGGCAGAGCATCCTTCATCAGCATGCGCTGCACTTCCTTGCCCAGTCTCTCGGACCGACCCTCTGATCTTTCCCAGCACCCTCCGCCAATTGAGGCCGACCGTGCTTCTATGTCTTCAGCAAATCCGGATGCCATTTCGGCAGGCGCAGCGAGCTGGCACTTGCAGTGCCTTTGGCGAAGAAAATGACCTGAAAGCTTCATTGAAATCCACTTGGTTTATGCGATGTGTCGAAACGAAGGGCAAACCACTACGATTCGAGGTTGGCCAAGTGCACAGTCGGGGATACTTGCTTTGGGAAATTATCCTCGAGACTTCCTATAGCAGCAGAGCAAAGCTTCGGTGCCCCTGGTGGGATGCAATGATGATTCGGTTCTGGACAGGGCTTTGTTTGTTAGGTGCAGCACCGAAGGCATTCGAACTTTAAAGCATCCCTGCAGAGCCAGCTACTGTTGTGTCCACACGTGCCCTCGTGCTTGCGGATCTTCGGGAACGGGTGTGGGTCCATGCCTTTTGGCATGAAGGCATCACTGCCACGTTTAGACCCTTCACATTGCCCCGCCCCATGCCAAGTAAACATGCTTCCATTCAGAGCCTGGTTCGGGCGAAATTTAATCTTGTTCAGATCTTGCTTCCACTCGGATGACCCAACACGCATGAGAAACACCAGCAGTATCCGCTATCCACATCCGGACTGATGCCGCAGGTCTTGCAAGTACTGTCACATGGACCACGTCAGGTTCTCAGACAGCATGAGGAAAAACTCGGTCGGCTAGCATTGCCGAGGCTAAGCGGAAGAAAGACCGCCCGCCCAAGATTGTGCTGATCTTGGTTTGCCATGCGATGTTATGATACTCCTAGGCCCATGGACCCATAGGCAAGTGCTTCTCGACTCTTGCCAAAGATAGGTTCGTGAGGAGTGCAAGCAAATTGCACAAGAGGCGCTGCACCCAGCATGGCCTGATGCAGAGCCACGTGTTGTAGGGATGAGTGCTGTCTTAAAGAATCAATGTTTGTGTTTGTTCCGTCTTGGTTCTTGCAGTGGGACAGGAGGTTGTGGAAAGCTTGACGACATGATCCGAGCTTTTTCTCCGGACAGCATTTGATTGGCGCGCTGGTGCATCTGCATGGGAAATAATCGGCAACAGCCTGATCGGCCTCATGATGCAACTGCGAAATCTTCCGACATCCGGATATCGGCGCATGCCAGACCACAGGAGTCTAGAATGCGGGCACCATACGGTGCATCGGCGCAATGTGGTGCGGTGCTGCGAAGCAATCTTTCGCCACAGTTTCAGAACACACACACACACACTCACACACACACATATATATATATAATATATTATAT